CGCTCCTCGCCTCGATGCACGCCCCGCGTGTGTGCCGCAGCGGCTCCGCGAGGGGGGTCTCCTCCTCGTCGGGCACGTGTCGCGCGGAGTCTGGGCAGCCGTGCCGGTGGCGCTCGACTGGGGCGCCGCAGCGCGGCGGGCAGGTGTGGGGGCCAGTCCGCGTTGGGGTCGTTTTTCGCCGGGCCAATTGCCGCCTGCTCACCAGATAAGGTGACGAGGGCGCCGCGGGCAGTCGCCGGCTGCTGGGCCATGGGGCCGCTGGTGCAAGCCCGAGCCGCTCTTGCCCGAACGACATTGCCCTGGTGCTCCGGCAGGCGCGAGGCCGCGCGCCGAAACTGCCATCGCCGCGCAGAGCCGCGCAGGCGCATCCCGAGAAGCGTCCGCGACGAACGAGACGTGGTGTCCACGCTCGCGGCGCATGCCCCAGTTCGTCATGAGGCTCCCATGCCCAACTGGCCCACCGCGCGACGATGGCTGCGGTGGCCTCGTAGATCGGGTTGCACAGCGTGCTGGGCTGCAGCGCAGCGCGAGGGTACTGGCGCAGCTGGCGGTGGGCCTGGCGCCGGCAAGCTCGCCCGTGAGTGCGCGGAGCTGCGCGAGCGCGGCGTCGCTGACCCCGCTGGCCCCGGCGCCGTGGGCCGCGGCGTGCACGGGCCCAGCGCGCATGAAGTGGCGCGCCTTGCCGCCGACTGCTGCCCCGGGGGCCCGCGGGCGTCGTCTCCTGGCCAGCGCCTGTTCGACGCGACCCTTATCCTGGCATCGCCGCGGCCTGCCGCCAGTGAGCTCGCGGCCCAGGTCCCGCATCCAACGGTGGGCCCGGACGCCCAGTCGCCCGAGCAGAGGCATGGCGGCCGCCAGCGGGGCCCGAGCACAGGCTCGGCAACGTTTTGAGCGACGTCATGACCTCCGCGAGTCCGCCAATAAAATCCTCGAGAGCGCGGGGCCCAGGTCACGCACGAGCTCCCTCCGCAGCCCCGCCCAGTCGGCGGTCAGTTCGTCCAACAATTGCTGGGGCACAGCGAGCGAGCACGCCCCCGCCCAAACGACCGCCCGATAGGTCAACGCATCCACTGTGGACGTGGCGCGTCCGCAGCTTGCCGCGACGCCCCGGGCCACGCGCGGAATCGAGCCGCGCGCCTGGTCGGAGCGCGGCCGGACGTAGAGGTCGAGAAGCCAGTGAACGCATGCCGAGAAACTGCGACTCGCGCAGCAGCAGCAGCAGCAGCGCGTGGGCCGTCATCTCGAGCGCCTTCCAGGCATCGAGCAGCGCCGTGACTGAGCCTTGGCCCAAACTTGCGGCGGCGACTTCAACGTCCAGGTTCAGGCCGAGGGCGAAGTCCGATGACACCCTGCACGAACTGGTGCCTTAGACGTGGTCGCCCAAGTGGCTCTTTCAGAGTTGCGATGGAAGCTTCTGCCTTGCTCGTGACCACCACCTCACGACATTGCGCAATAGCCCGATGAGCCGCGAGCCGCCGCCCTTCCTGGGCAGACGTACGAGGGCGGTCGCGACTCTGCCAGCGGGCCACCTGGCCAAGGCTTCACACGCATCAAACAGCCCACAAACGACGTCGATGCCCCCGTCGGAGAATTGGCTGAAGAGCCTGGAACGTAACGCTGACGGTCCCACCGCCGTCCGAGCAGGGAAAGGTCTGCCCGCCTCAGGTGGTGCACCGTCAAGTTCGGGAGCGCGTCCAAGGCGGCGGTGCCTTGAAGCCCTTGCAGGGGGGCCAGCCTGTGATGCCGCCAAATTGGTCCGCCTGTCCAGCTCAGCATCCGCTAGCTGGCACGGCTGGGTGCCATTGGCGGCAGGCTTGGACAGCCCCAGCCTCTCCCTGGGCTCACTGAATCTGTGGGCGGCGCCCGCGCCGATGCACAATGAACCCTTCGCCCGGCCTCGCCGCTCGCGGTCGACGCGCGGGAGCTCCCGCCTCGCCATCTCCTCCGCCATCTACGACAGAGCTGCGGCCTGCTGGTCGAACCCCATCGTCGGACGTGGGCGCGAAGTCTGCGTTGAACATCTCGACGCGTTGCTGGGCGACGTGCTGGAGCACGGAGCACCTGCCGTCCACCTTGCGCAGAAAATTGCACATGCGCGCGATCTCGTGGTTTATTTAGCCGCTGGCACTCGCCGGCATCGGGGCGGGCGTCTGAGCGGACTTGCGCGACACCGTGGGCCGCGCGAGCGCGCAGCCTGCGAATGCGCTCAGCCCATCTGGCTGCCGTCTCGATGGCGCCGGCGGTTAGGCCTAGCCTGGCGCTGAACAGGGGCCCGCCGCGCTCGCCGCCGCTCGGCGAGCGGCGGGCCGCCTCGGAGCTGCTGTCGGGCCCCGCGGCGCGCGTTCAGCTCTGCTTGGGCCCCCTGCGCGACGGCGCCCCGTGCTTGTCCCGGCGCCTCGTCGTCGCGCGCCTCGTCCACCTCGCGCACGTCCAGGAGCTGCGCGGGCGCGGGCCAGCGCGGCCAGGCGCCGGCGGCGCGCGGGCTCGCAGGGCCTCGGGGGCGATGAAGTAGTCGACGCGAGACTCTAGCAGCTGGCGGCAGCGGGCGAATCCGCCAGGAACCTGAATGGCCGCACCAAACCTGCCGAGCCAATCATTGCGGGCCAGCTGGGCCGCCTCCGCGTTGAAGTCGCACCTCCGAAGATCCAGGCGCGGCCCGGCCTCTCCATCTTTCGTGGGAAGCGGAAGACGTCGGCGAGGTCGGCAGCGCTGGCCGTCAACAGCACTTCCCCGCGCGAAAGTAGAGCGACGCGCGGGCGACGTCCTCTGGGGCCCCCCAGCGCACCAGCGCCGCTCGAACTCGTCCAGCCAGAAGGACGCCCCATGGCGCGCCTGGCACCTCCGTGACCTGGATGTCGGACCTCGCTGGATAGCCGAGCCACTTTGGGGGCCAGTCGCGCGGCGCGACGACCGCGCAGGGGCCCGCGCCCCGCGCCAGCCCGCGTCTGCCAGGTCCACCTCGAGCGTGGCCAGTCTGCTGCCGAACTGACGACGCTCCTACATGAATGAGACTGGCGCTGTCGTTTGGGCCAGGTACTTCTTGAGCGGCCCTGCGTTGGTCACGCTGGCGGCGGTGACCGTGCCATCCCAGGCGCGTTGGTAGCTGTTGCTGTCGGTATTATTGCTCTGCTCTGCGCCCCGTCTGCCGAGGCGCCTCGCCGTCGGCGTTGCAACAGCGCCCAGTCGAGCGAGGGGGGGCCCCGCGCGGGGGGTCGCGGGGGCGTCGGCCACCCTTCCGCGGAGGGCCCCGCGTGGTCTTTTCGCAAGGGCATCGACCACCCCTCCTCGGAGGGCCCTGCGTCTCCCACTTGTGACCTGGATGGGGTCGTCGCCCCCCCCCTCTGAGGGCCCCGGGCCCCGCCTGTCCCGGCGACGCCGCTGGCTTGCCTGCGCCGCGATCACCCTCGGCGCCGCCGCTCGGGCCCGCCGCGCGCTCTGCCTCGGACTGCGCCCCATCCAAGCTGCAATTTCCCCGCGGTGCCAGGCCCGCCTCAGCCCCAGGCTGGCGGCTCGGCCGGGGCAGCGGGCGCGGGCGACGCGCCCGCTGCAGCAGGGGCGCGGGCGGCCCCTGACGCGGTTGCAGTGGCTAAGGTGCGAACAGGCTCAACGGCGCCCCTGTCGCGCTGGGCCAGCGGCAGCATGGTGAGCCCCCTGGCGCGGGCGTAGGTAGCTGGCTCATCATTATCAAGCAAATCAACCTGCGACTGGCGCAGGACCTGCCTGCTTGGCATCGCCCAGCTCCATGTCGTCGTCGAATAGGCCGTCGGCAGCCATGTCGACGGGGTCTTGGGCAGGTGGGGGGCCCCAGGCTGACCAGGCGCAGCGGGGCCCACCGCGTCCTTGCCGAGCTCCGCGAGCTGCGCTAAATCCTCAGCGATGTTGCCGCGGATCTGCGCTGGCACTCGCTCGTCCTCCAGAAACTTGCCCAATGCCTCCATGGACAGCCCCATGCCAGAAAGGATGTCTCACGCGATTGCGCGGCCACCGGCGGGTACAGGAGTTCGAGGCAGAGCATGTCGCAGTGTTTGTCGTTGGCCCTGAAGGCCAAGAAGCTTCTGCGGCTGCACCGCCAGCCTGGCCTCCTGATCGCGCAGCTCGTCCTGGAGCTTTTGAAACTTGCCCCTGGCACGGGCGACGCCGTCTTCGCCGACGAGGATGGCCATCTGGATCTTGGCGACGCGGCCTTGCAAGACCTGGACCTGGGTACCAACGGGCTTGGCCTGCAGCTCCTCCTGCTGAAGTATCTCCTGTTCCTCCCGCAGTTGGGAGCGCAACTGCACCACCGCTGGCTGAATGAGCTGCCCCAGCGTAGCCAACACACCTCGTATCCTCCCCAGTCGCAGTCGACGTTGGACTCAAGCGTGTGGGTCGTCGGGGCCAGGGGAGTCGCCCACGTTGTCTCCGTCTGAAATCCCTCGAGCAGCAGCATCTCCGCCGTGGGGCGACATGCTAAGCTTGCGTTTGAGCTCCGCCAGCTCGGTCCGCATGCACTGCATCTCCACGTCCTTGGCCTCGGCAAGGTTGGCGAACAGGTCCTGCTCGACCTTGCGTTTTTCCGGGACCCACGGAGAAACCCTCGAGGGAAGCACCGAGCTGAGGCTGTTGCACAGGAGGGCGACCCTTTTGGATTGTCCACACCTTCGGCGCTGCAGCTGGTGTCCAAAATTGGCGTAGTTCTTCCCGCCTGGTCAGGGGCCGGCAAAGGACTGGCATTGCCATTTGGTACGCTGCTCGTCGCGGCGGCCTGGCGCAGCCCCACTGCCCCTGCCGAGTCCGCCCCGCCCAGCACGCGCTGCTCCACCCGAGACGCCGGCCATGCATGCCACAGGAAAGACGGTAAGGCAAGTTGGATTTGGCTCAGCCAAACACCTCCCTCGGTGCTCGGAACGTCAAATTCAAACTTGCACCTGACGGGACGGTGCTTTGGCTTTCAGTTAATATGGCTACGGGTGTGCGTCTGTGTGTGTGTGCGTATGCGAGCGTGTGAGAGAGGGAGAAAGAAAGAGAGAGAGAGAGAGGGAGCGGCAAAAGAGACTGTGCCTCGACGGGAGCGTCCGAGCCCCCCCCCCCACCACGTCAGGACGACGTCCTTTCTACTCCTGCATAGATCTTGGCCAAGCCAACTCCAGGCCCAATATCGGCGCGGGCACCCTCCCGACCTGGCCGTAAGGGCACGCGCACAGATTCCGGGCCCAGGACTGGTCTGCCCAGGGCCTGTGCAGGTGCACGGCTGACGCCCTCCCGCGTGTGGGCCCTCTTGCGCGTCCCCCTCGCAACGGCGCGCCGCTGCTCAGCTGCTGGGGGCGGCCGTCCGCGCGGCGGCCCCCCAAGGCCGACGGGCGAGGCGCGGGCGGCGGCATGTCCCGCCGTTCCTCTTCTATAGAGCAGGGTGCGGCTGGCTCCCGCCGTGCTGACGTGGGCGCTGGCTCCCGACGCCGCGCATATCGCTCCACCTCGAGCCGTTTCTGCTGTATCCGACGGCGGAGGTGGTTCAGGGTTGGCCCGGTTCAGGCCGTCGGTGGCCTTTGTCCGTGAGCTGGGGTACGTACTGGGCAGGATCCCGAGGCGAATCAAACAGTGGCGACGAGGGCCTCCTAAGAGACCCCAAAAGACGAAAACGAAGAAGGGCATCGGTATCTTCATATCTCTCCTCTGACGAGCGCCCGCGCTGGCGTCGCTGCCGCGTCGGCGCGGCGCGAGCCCGCCATACGTCCACCGCCGGCGCCTCCGCAGGTCTGCTGCAAAGAGAGAGAGAGAGAGAGCGTGATCCACCGCCGCTTTACTGTGGAAAATTGCCGACCTTTTCCTCCGGAACCCGGAGGTCCCCCCCCCCTCCGAAAATCACACACACCCCTGCTGGAACCCCTCCCCCCTCCCCCCTTCCCCAGGCAAAACCCCACCCCCTCCCCTAACCCCCCCCCCTCGAACTCGAAAACAGGGGGGGGGTCACTACCTGTTCGACCCCCCCCCCCCCCTCGAAAACCGGAGGGGGGGGTCACTACCGGTTCGAACCACTGAGCTGTCCCACTGTTCCCACCACTGTCCCCACTGTCCCCACCACTGTCCCCACTGTACCTCTGTCCCATTGTCCCACCGCCGTCCTCGCCACCGCCTTCACCACTGTCCCCACCACCACTGTACCCTCCACTGTCCTACTGTTTCCACCACATTCCCACTGTCCCCACACCACTGTCCCCACCACCACCGTCCCCACCACTGTCCCACTGTCCCCACTGTTCCCACCATTGTCCTCACCATTGTCCCCACCACTACCGTCCCCACCACTGTCCCACTGTCCCCACCACTGTCCCGCTGTCCCCTCACCACTGTCCCCACCACCACCGTCCCCACCACTGTCCGCACCCCCCCTCGGTTTTCGAGGGGGGGGGGTTCGAACCGGTAGTGACCCCCCCCGGTTTTCGAGCTGGGGGGGGGGGGGGTTCGAACCGGTAGTGACCCCCCCCCTTTTCATGATGAACTGGGGGGGGGGAGGGGTTCGAACCGGTAGTGACCCCCCCCGGTTTTCCGGAGGGGGGGGGGGGAGGGGTTCGAACCGGTAGTGACCCCCCCCGGTTTTCCGCCAGCAGCCGTAGAACACGCTCTTTCTGCAAAGAGGGTCCGCGGGAAAAGGGACTGTGGCACCCGTGGGGCCGACCAAAACGGCGCCCCTCACTCCGTCTCCTTCGAGGGGGCGCCGAACGGTGGCCGCGCCACAAAGCCCCCGGCAACCAGCAGGCCGAGGCTGCCCGCGATGATGGTGCCGAGGACTCCCGCGGCCGCGTGGTCGCCTTTCGCCGACTGGACGGCCTACGGGGGGCGTCAGCTGTCCGCCTCACCGACCCTGGCCATGCCCATGCTGGGTCCAGGAAGGAACGGTGCATCACCCATCCTGGACCCAGGATGGGCCTGGCCAGGATAGGTGAGGTGGACAGCTGATGCCCTCCGAAGCCTCTGGCGCCTTGATGTAGTCGGGGTTGAACGTCGTCGTCGTCGTCGTCGGCCCCGTGCCGTCCACCGCGGCGAGGAGTGCCAGGGCGACGAGCAGCGCCGCCACCTGCGGCTGGCGCGCCATGGCGCGGCGGGCGGGCGGGGAGCCGGGCGAGCACCCTGCGGCCTGGGCCGCGCGGCCAGAGCGGCGGTGCGGGAGGCGGCGCTGCGGCGGCGGCGCTGATGCAGCCACGAGGAAGCCACGAGGACGCCACGAGGCAGCCACGAGGTACGCCCATGTCTCATGCCTCATGTTACTCCTGCCTCTCGCCTCTTAGCCGGTCCTGCCTCAAACCTCGCATTTCTCCTGCGTCCTCCTGCGTCCTCCTGCTCCTCCTCCTCCTCCTCCTCCTCCGCCTCCTCCTCCTCCTCCTCCTCCTCCTCCTCTTCCTCATTCTCCTCTGCTCGTTGGCCTAGGGGGCGAATCTGAGCGGGACATCCGTGTCCGCAGGACATAAGGCTCGACTCTGGGAAAGTCTAGCGGACCCCTCCATTTCGTGGGGTGCTTGCGGCAATCCGCCTCCGAACTGGCTGCCGCGCCTGCTCCCTGGCGGCCTTGGGTACGCCACTTGGGCTGCAGGGGCCCCAGCTGGATCCTCCCCGGGTCTGGCCGAGGCTGGGCCCCCCAGGGCGGCTGCCGTGTGCGTAAGAGCATCCTGGGTGACGGGCGGTGCGCCGCGCAGCTCAAGCGCCCAGGGGGGCTCTGCTGCCTGCCCTGTTGAGCTTCGGTGGTGGTCGCCCGCCCGCCTCCAAGTTGCGCGCATTCCTCCTCCTCCTCCTCCTCCTCCTCCTCCTCTTCCTCCTTCTCCTGCCTTTCGACCTCGTCCTCCCTCCCACCTTCTCTGCTCCCTCCTGCTCTTCTCGGGTCGCTTTCAAACACGTGGCTCTGGCCTGAGCGCCGCGCACATTCATAGCTTGCAGGAGTTTAACAGGGTGAAGGAGAATCTCCTACGGATCTGGCGCTAGACAGCAGGGCAGGGCACGCCCCATGCAGTGCTGACACCACTGAAGCAAATTGTCTCAATGCTTTTGTCTCAACTCTTGACCTACCTCCTACGTGGAGGGGACTTGGGCGAACCCCCGGAGGTGCCTGGAGCCCTGGGGTGAGCCCGCGCCGCCAGGGAGTTCTCTCGAGTCTCCCAGTGTCCCCCCTCTCTTCCTCGCAGTCCACCGAAATATTTTCTCTGACTGCGCGCACAAAGTCAACTTGCTGTCGTGCACGACCGACGTCTGCTCGAGGCGACAGAGCAGCAACAGTAGATTCGTCATGGGCCCCTCGGGGGGTGGGGCAAAGCCCCAGCACTCCCCGGAGGGCCGCGGGCTTGGGCAGAAGCCCAGACAATCCGCACCACGCCCGCCGGGGACGGGCAGCAGCCCAACCCCGGAACCAATTCTTCATATCCAGCAGCTACATCGAGTGGGTACTGTTACCTGTGACACCTCCCGAGGTACAGCGGGTCAGCCGCGGGCTTTTGCCGAGCGGAGACAAAAAACCCGGAACCACGTCCCCCTCGAAGCCGAACGAGGCCGCATTCGCAAAACGAAGCGCGGATTGTGGATCCTTTCGGTCGTGCGTTTGCGAAAATACGCGCGCACTGAAAAGCGACGCATAGCGCGCATTCCACATAGGCGTAGAGGGAGTGCATCCGCAGTACACCCTTCACGTCGACAAGATCGGGCTACCGCCCAGTATCCTTCCGCCGTTCCTTGCACGGAGCTTTGGCGGCGCACGCGCACGGTGCCCCTTTGGCCCAAGCTGCGTAGTGCTACTACTAACGTTCAGGGATTAGCGCAGGCTGGCAACAGAGACGAAATCGAACAATGGATGAGACAGAAGGAAATGTTCGCGGTCCAAGAAGCACACACACACGCACGCACTACTTCACGGGAAATTCGCAAGGATTATCATTGCACAACATTTCTTCGCTTGCGTGGGTTTTGAAAGTAATAAGCAACATGTCAAATACGTACAATTCGTAGTCCAAGTAGCAGACCGAATCAGTGCTGGAGCTAGGGCAGCAGACCACGCAACTCACGCTCATTGGCGTCTACACGCCGACTGCCACGCGTCCAGAGACAGAAACAAAAACATGTTTATGATTACCGATCTCGCACGTGAAATAAATCCGCCGACCCTGTCGGCGTGTGGAAGACGCGGTTCGTCGTCGTCAAGACGTTGTTTGTCGTGAGCCTCGTCGTCGACGTCACCGCTCCTACGTCGAGAGCCTCGTGATCGACGTCACCGCTCCCACATCGAGGACGCCGCTCTCGCTCCTTTCCCTGAGCCCGTCGCCGAACAGATCAAAGTCTCATTGCGTCAAAAGGAAATCCCCCTCCCTCATCATCCCTTCCTCGGGATGGGGGGGGGGGGATCCCGGGGGGGTCGCCACCCGGATACGCCTCCCCCTCTTGGGGGTCCCAGGGCCGAGAAAAGCCCCTAAGACGGCCAAGAGGCCCCCAGGACGGTCCAAGAGGGCCCCGAGTCGCCGAACTATCGGTCCAAGTCGTCAAAGCCTCCAGGCGGCCCACGACGTTTCCAAGACTGGCCCCAAGACGGCCCGAGAGGCCCCCAAGACGCCCAAGAGCGCCCCAAGAGGCGTCCTAGGAGGCCCCAAGAGGCCAACAATCATTGATTTTTTCGTTAGGTGTTTGAAGGATTGCTGCGTTTCCGCTGTTTCGGCTTTCCGACGCTCCACAACGGCCCAAGAGGCCCCCAAGATCGCCCCAAGACGGCCCAAAACGGCCCCAAGAGGGCCCAAAGACGGCCCAAGAGGGCCCCAAGAGGGCCCAAAGACGGCCCAAGAGGGCCCCAAGACAGCCCAAGACGGCCCGAGAGGGCACCAAAACGGCCCCACGAAGGGCCCCAAAGAGAAACCGCGAACAAAAAAATTCGAGCCTTCCGCCCCAAGAGGCACCCAGGAGGCCCCCTAGAGGCCCCAAGAGGCCCCCTAGAAACTCCCAAGAGGCAACCAAAAGGCCCCCGAAAAGCCCCAAGCGGCCTCCCCGAACCCCCCAACAGGCTCCCGAGACGCTCCCAAGGTTCGAGTGCACATTGCTCTGGATGACATCGAACGAAGGACTGTCGGCCAGAATACTTTCGACCCAGAGCATGTCAATCCTCTCCTACGTAACCCAGATCCTGCGTACAACCGACAATGTTTCCTTAGCTTTTGTCTTGACCATGATCTCATTCTTATCAACGCGCAATTTCGAAAACGGCCCGAAAATTAGTCACGTGCAAAGAACCAGGCGCCACGTTTACTAGCCCGTACACCCGCCAATGGCGCGAAGTATTGAACTATATCCTGGTGGACCGGAGATGGAGACGATCAGTTACCGATTGCGAAACCGATCCAATCGCGAACATCCACTCGGACCACAGGCCGCTCCAGGCCGCTCTTTACGTACGCCTCAAAGTTTGTCTTGCGAATTCGAAAACGCCCTGGCTGAAGTATTTACCCTGCGCGGGAGCAGGCCACCGCGTTCAACGAACACGTAGCATGGCACATGGCGAGAACAACCAGCGAAAACACCGCGGCGACTGTCCAAGCAGCTCTGGCGGAAGCTTCGCTGTCGGGCCTCCCGAGATCGCTGCGCAAACAGGAACAACATAACATTTCAGAAGGCACGTTGGAGCTACTCGGGCAACGCGGGCTGGCTCTGCTCAGCCAGGACATACACACGTATAGCTTGCTCACTTCCGAATTCCGGAAAGGCAAACGAGGCAACCGAGAGCACAACATTAAAGCTTCGAGTAAGGACTTAGACACCCAGGACGTGTGGCTGGGCATTCGACAGTTTAAGAACGGCTACGTAGCCGAACGAAGCGATGTCAAAACAGCACAAGGCAAACATTAACAAAATGCCAGATGGCAGAAGAGGCCGCAAAGCATATGGGTTTCGAAAATGGCACTGCCGCGCTCAAAGATAGTGCAACAAGTCCTGCCTTACAGCACTGGGCATATTAGCATGGCAAAGGCACGCGCGGTGCTGACGAAATACAAAAGACGAAAGGCCACAAGGACCGATAACGTCCCCATGGGAGCCTTGAAGGAACTAGACAACGACAGCTTGTTCAGCGTTGTGAATGTGCTCAACGAGTGGTGGCATGAAAAAGCAGTGCTTTCCGACGTCGTTGTGGCCCGAATATCACTCATCTTCAGAAAGTCAGACACTAGTAAGCTAAACAAACATAAATTTAAGAACACATCGACCCGCACGCTCAATCCACGCAGTGTGGGTTTCGACGGCGTGAAAGCAAAACGCACGCCATACACTGCGTGAGGCGATTCGGAGAGATGGGCGAAGCTGCTGATCGGCAGGTGCTGATGGTGCTGCTCGACGGGGGAAAGGCTTTCGATAAGGTCACGTGTGAAAGCCTCTAAAACGCTATGATGGATCGCACGCGTGTGCACCCAAAGCTGATTAAAACTGTACAGCGCATCTATCGGGTAACGCAATTCAAGGTCGAAATGGAAGGAACGGAGTCGTCGTGGTATGAACAGCAGACCGGCATAAGGCAGGGATGCACTCTGTCTCCGTATTTCCCCACATGCTTCGTGGGGTTTGGGTTTTCTTCCTTGCCGCGCCGCACCCGCGATACTCACACCTCACCTCTCTCTCCTTCTCACACAGCGCAGCACACAGCGCAGCACAGCACAGCACAGCACAGCTCAACGCAGCACAGCACAGCACAGCACAGCACAGCACAGCATAGCACAGCTCAGCGCAGCGCAGCACAGCACAGCGCAGCACAGCACAGCACAGCTCAGCACAGCTCAGCTCAGCTCGGCACCGCACAACACATCACAGCTCAGCATAGCACACAGGGCAGGCGCGCAGGGCACGGCACGGCAGAACGTGGCAGGGGTGGCATTTTCTCGCCACCAGAGAGGGTGCGCAGGGGGTGGTCCCTCAGCGCGGTCTCTATGCGTGCCAAGGTCGGAGAGCGTGGCAGGCGTGGCACTTTCTCGACACCAGAGAGGGTGCACATCCTCGACACCACAGGGGGCGCGCTGGGGGTGGGGTCGCTATCCGTTTCGGGTCCGCAAAGCGTGGCAGGCGTGGCACATCCTCGACACCACAAAGGGGCGCGCTGGGGGTGGGGTCGCTATCCGTTTCGGGCTCGC